TAGGGTGAGCGGCAGATTTTTCACCATTTCCTGACTATATGACATAAGACAGCTCTACTTCTTTTGACTTGAATTTCACTTTTCTCCTTTCATTGGAGAATGTTTTAATAATTTGTTTGATTCAAGGGTGTTACAGCATCGTGGGACTCCCTGTTCTAGGAAGGAAAGGAACAGAGGCCAGGTTGTTCTGGCCAGCCCCGCCTTATCTCAGGAGGTTGTTGTCTCAGTCCGTTTGTGTGGCTATAAACGAATACCTGAGCCTGGGTAATGTATCCGAGTCCGGTGAAGCCCCTGGCTGCGTCCACTCGTCGCAGGAGGAGAAGGGGAGCTGATATATGCACAGATCACAGAGATCGGCAAGAGAGGAAGCACGAGAGAGAGAGAGGGGAAGTGCCAGGCTCTTTTAACAACCAGCTTTCATGGTGACTAGTAGAAGGAAAACTCATCACCACCACCACCTCCATGAGGGCATTAATGTATTCGTGAAAGGTCCATCCCGATGCCCCAAACACCTTCCACTGGGACAGATCTCCCACATCTGGGATCAAATTTCAGCATGAGGTTTGGAGGCTTCAAACATCCAAACTATAGCAGTTCTAGTGCATCACATTCTACAGTTATCCTGAAATCTACAAGCAAGAAAGAGAGAAAAGGTTGGGTTACTGGCCAACTGGGGACTTGTCCTAAAAAGGTATTATATGTAATTCCCTGACAATAAGTGGGATGCAATGCATAAAGGGGAGCTGCTATGATTTGCCTCTTATAGGAGTCACATCTTCCTCCAGGTGACCTGCGGCACCAGCATGCTCTGGTCCAGCGCTCACTGGTCATTGTCTTCCTTGCCATCCTCATCTTCCTCATCATCACGTGCTTGCTCCGAAGAGTAAGTCTCGGGAAGAAGAGGCCAGGGACATGTGAGCAGCGTGGGGGGGCTGGGGGGGTGTACACAGGTGTGCATTCTCCATTTGCAGGAGGACACCTGGTGCTAGGCAGAAGCCACAGAGGTAAGACTTTCTAGAGAGGACACCAGGGCTCCCTTGCCCCCTTCTGCAGCTCACAGCCCATTGTCTTATCATTGTTCACTGTGTCCTCACATCCAGTGCAGCCACTGATATCTAAGAGAACATTCTACGAAAAGAGAAGAAGGAATCAATGGGCTGCCAATGAGGAGCTATTAGTGGGATGGGTCCTTGAACTCACAGAAGTAGAAGACATGATTCTGTTTTTTGGTAGATAAGTGACCACGGCCACCCAGGGCCTCTCTGTGTGTTGACATCTGCATGTGAATGAGGAACGGGAGTTCCCTGTGAGGTGTTTGGATGACTTCTATCCCCTACAGGTGCTGCCACGATGGACAGAGAGCCTGAGGCAGACAGAACGGGGACCAGGGAAGTGGCTTCTGCTCAGCCCAGCCTCATCCATAAAGCCACATTCCCTACAGTCCCTGGGAAGGTGTGCACTTGCCCTCACTCCACATTTCCCTCTTTCTGGGACTCCGATGGACAAGACCCAGAGGAAGTGACATACACACAGTTGGACCATCTGATTTGCACACAGAAAAATCACTCCCACTTCCCAGAGGCCCAAGGAACCCTCAGCAGATATAGCTGTGAACGTGGAACTCGCATATTGCTAAGCCCGGATCAAGGGTGGTCTCCTGCCCCATGAGCATGCACAGAAGGACCTTGAGGTCTTCCATGGAGGCCACAGCTCTTTCTCAAACCCAGCTTGACAGCTGCCAGGTAACAACAGCTGAATCTGAAGACATAATTCTTCATCTTTGGCCAATCCTGTTCATCACAGCAGGAGTCTGGACATAGCCCTCTCCTGAGGACAAACTTCCATGGTCCCCGTAGTCTACTGGAGAGAAAACAAAGTCCTTTGCTTAGCTCCCAATTCTCTGTTTCGCTTGTCCCCTGCCAATCTCCACAAGCTAACTGGCTGTACCATCTAGTCCTGCTTGAAGTTAACTGCACTGAGTAACTCACAATTTTATACAGGCAAGACGGTCACTCCTAACACTGGACTTAAACACATTCTAGTCTACCTTCCCTGAATGCTATTTTTCAGTGTTCTGTCACCAGGAACATGTCTGTATTTTTTCACTATTTCAGTGTAGACCTCTCCTCTCCAAAGAAACATTTTCTCACCTCTTGCTTTAGGTAAGGTGCCTCTCTTTTGCCTACAGTTTTTAGGTGTTACCATTACTATGTACATATTACCCCAAATGTCTCCACTGGGTTCTCATCTCTGGGCTGTGAGCTTCTTGAAGTAGGACAGAGTCTCATTTGTCTCTGAGACATAAGTTTCCATCCAAGGATGCAGTGTATTAAGAGGCTTCAGGGATCACTTTCCAAATGAGCAAGTGAAGATTCTTACTGTTTGCGGGAAAAGCTAGTGAGTTCTAGAGGAGACACTTGCAGGGTCATTCATTGTCATGGTCATTTTCATCTCCATGAGGTCATATATCAAAACATCACGTCGTACATTATAAATATACAATCAGTCCTTTACATCTATGGGTTTTGCATCTATAGATCCAACCAACTACACATCAAAAATACTCAAAAAAAAAAAAATTCACAATGTTCCAAAAACCAAAACTTGAATTTGCCGTGTGCCAAGTACTATATTGATTCCACGCAAATGAAGTGATATGGAGGCATTGTATCTGGTATTATAAATAACCTAGAGATGATTTAAAGTATACAGGAAGATATGGGTAGACTATATGCAAATACTGTGCCATTTTATATAAGACTTGTATGTATCTGCAGATTTTGGCATCTGAGGGAGGTCCTGAAACAAATTCATGGATGCCGAGGGATGGCTATGTACAATTTTTATTTGTGAATTTAAAAAAATAAATTTAAAAAGAATTTAAATGATCTGATAAAAAAATAAAACCTTCTTGTATCGTGTGAAACTGAATTTAGGTTTCTTTTTTTCCTACACATAACCCTTTAGCCCAATGCCATTTATTGAAAAAACATTCCATTCCACCTTAAACTACACTAAAGCCATTTTCAAATGCAAAGTGATTGTATATATACATGAGTGTATTTGTGTTTGTTGTATTTTTTTTCCATTTACTTTCTGTGTATGTTTATGTAGGACTAGTGCAGTTTTGCTACATTGGTCTATTGCATTGTGGCAAAGTCAGGGCCTTCAGTGCATAAGTCGCTGAAGCAAAGCACATTGTACCCACCAAGCAAGCTCCCATCATCCACCCTCCTCCAACCATCCCCCACCCCTCCAAGTCTCCATTGTCCATCTTTCCACACTCTGCTTCCATGTGCACACATTATTTAGCTCCCACTTCTAAATGAGAAACATGGGCTACTTGCTTTTCTGTGTCTGCGTTGTTTCACTTAAAATAATAGCCTCCAGTTCCATCCGTGTTGCTGCAAAGGACATGATTTCATTCTTTCTTATGGCTGAATAGTATTTCATTGTGCATATATACCACATTTTCTTTATCCAATCCTCCACTGATGGACACTTAGATTGATTCCATATCTTTGCTATTGTGAATAATGTCATGATAAACATATGAGTGTCAGCATCATTTTTTATGTTAATTTCTTTTCCTTTGGGTAGATATATAGTATCGGGATTGCTGGATTGAAAGGTACATTTATTTTTAGTTCTTTGAGAAATCCCCATATTGTTTTCCATAGAGGTTGTACTAATTTACATTCCCACCAACAGTTTATAAGATTTCCTATTTCTCCACATAACCACCAACATCTGTTATCTTTTTTTAACAATAGACATTTTGATAGGTGTAAGATGATATCTAATTGTGGTTTAATTTGTTTTTCTCTGATGATTAGTAATGTTGAACATTTGTTCATGTGCTTGTTTGCTATTTGTCTTTTTTTGAAAAATATCTATTCAATTCCTTTGCCCACTTTTTTTTTCTTTGAGACAGAGTCTTACTCTGTTGCCTGGGCTAGAGTACGGTGGCATCAGCCTAGCTCACAGCAACCTCAAACTCCTGGGCTCAAGTGTGCTTTTGAGGTCTTAGTCATGAATTTTTTGCCTAGACCAATGTCGAAAAGAGTTTCCCCTAGGTTTTCTCCTAGTATTTTTATGGTTTCAAGTCTTACAAGCCTTTAATTCATCTTGAGTTAATTTTTGTATATAATGAGAGATAGGGACCCAGTTTCATTCTTCTGCATATGGAAGTCCAATTTTCCCAGCAGTATTTATTGAAAAGGGTATCCTTCACCAGTGTATGTTCTTGTCAACTTTGTCAAAGATCAGTTGGCTATAAGTATGTGGTTTTATTTCTGGGTTCTCTATTTTTTGTTCCATTGATCTATGTGTCTATTTTTATATCAGTATGATGCTGTTTTGGTTATGGTAGCCTTGTAGTATAATTTGAAGTCAGACAATGTGATGTCTCATGCTAAGAGACACCCTGTTTGCTTAGGGATCCTCCAAGCCTCCCCCCCAACCCACTTTTATTTCTGAACTCACCAAGACAGAGGAGGGTTGTGGTATCTTTGCAGGCCATGATGCTGATACAGCCATGGACCAGTTATCCTCCTGTTGGTGTACATTAGCAGGATGACAGATACTTATAAGACAGTAAGATCCACAGGAAGTATGACATTGAGAGTCCTTCATCAGAGAATTTCTACATCTGTTGCCCCATAGGAATGAGAACAGAGCTTTGTTCTTTTTTTTCTGCATTTTTTTTGATACAGAGTCTTACTCTGTTGCCTGGGCTGGAGTGCCATGGTATCAGCCTAGCTTATAGCAACCTCAAACTCCTGGGCTCAAGCAATCCTCCTGCCTCAGCCTATCAAGTAGCTGGGACTATAGGTGCTTGCCACCATGCCCGGCTAATTTTTTCTTTTTCTTTTCTTTTTTTTTTTTTTTAGTGCCCGGCTAATTCCCCCCACCCACCCCATTTTTTAGTACAGATAGGTCTCACTCATGCTCAGCTGCTCTGGAACTTCCAACCTCAAGTGATCCTCCCACCTCAGCCTCCCGCAGTGCTAGGATTACAGGCATGAGCCACCACTCCCAGCTGACTGATGGTTCAATGAAGAAAACCTCTGTCTATATGGCATCCACCTTGTATCCATCCCAGGCCTTTCCATGTGGACGTGGGATCTGGTTCAAAAATGGATTTGAACACCGTTAGATACTGGATTAAGAGAAATGCTCACATCTCATCTGAAACATAAAGAGAAATATAGGTCTTCTCTTGGAGAACAACCCAGAATAACCCAACGGCAAACCAGAACTAAGTTATTTGGGAAGTGACTGTTCTCCTTCCTATGGGGCAACAGATGTAGAAATTCTCTGATGAAGTACTCTCAATGTCATACTTCCTGTGGATCTTACTGTCTTATGAGTATCTGTCATCCTGCTAATGTACACCAACAGGAGGCTAACCAGGCCACGGCTGTGTCAGCATCATGGCCTGCAAAGATACTACCATCCTCCTCTGTCTTGGTGAGTTCAGAAATAAAAGCGGGTTGGAGGGGAGGATTGGAGGATCCCCAAACAAACAGGGTCTCTCTTAGCATGAGGACTCAGTGATTTTAGTGGCTACCAAGGAGATTCTTAGCTCCTTACTGAAGAGACAGTCTTTGCCCAGATAGCTATAACTCTGCCTTTGCCCAATTCCAAGCTAGTTTGTGGGTCTCAGTTGTTCTATTTAATCCATGACATGCTCTCTGGAATCCATGATTCCAGAGTTCCTATAAAGGAGAGACTCAGAGGCTGGAATTCAGAAGATAAAATTAAAAGATGAGCCTCAAAACTGTTCTTGCTGTGGAAGAAAAATAATGTGTGTGAACCCCATGTTATTCTCTCTGTCTATATGTGTAGTGATTCATAATAGGGGTTGGAAACTGGACGGGTGATTTTTTTCATCAATCTGTCTCTTCCAGTACTCTGTCTGGGCCAAAGGATTCAGGCACAGGAAGGTAAGTGTCCCCTAAATCTCCCCCAGCACTTTAGACCCTCATGGAGCTCTGGATGAGAAGGACTAGGGGGATGGTCTGAAGCCCAGACAGATTCCACTTTCATTCTCCACTCCAGTTTTCTCTGCCGTGTTTCCCTTGTATAATTTCTATCTCACTTTGGTATCGCCAGGCCCTTCAGACTCATTAAGGCTCAGACCTGGATTTCTTTGCCTCTCCTTTAGACTATCCACAAAAGGTGAATACATTTACCGAATGCACGCAGCTGCAGGAATGAGGAAGTCAGGACTCCTCTTTGCCTGGCTTCCTTCCCTATTGTCGAATCTCTTTTGTTTTCACAACCTGATTTCTCTAGTCCATTCTTTTCACTGCATTTAAAGCTGCCTCAGTCCAGCTCTGCTGTATGTTCTGTGTATTCCATGGTGCTGCCACAGTACTATGCAAGGGGTGGTACCAAAGTACCTGTACATATTCTGCCAGCCCAGCTCCTGCCTTGGCCTCCCACTGGGTGTGAGCTCCATGTCCACCATGTCTTCTCTTCCAGCTCTAAAGAATGTAGACTGAGTTTTTTGTGTCTTTAAAATACAAATATGTTTATCTCTCTCTTAAAACTCTTCAGTAGTCTCTCTTGAGATAAGCTCACCAACTTCCCCAGGCCTACCAGTCCCTGCCCACCCTGGTTTGTGTCTACTCTCTCAGTACAACTTCCACTTTCCCTCTGAGCCTCTGAGCCTCACTCACACTGGCCTTAATTTAGTTTCTCCTCATCTTCTTATACATTATTGAATCAGTGCCTTTCCTCCCATTTCCCCTTCTACCTGCAATGCTCCAACCCTACCTATCCGCATTGCATAGGCAATTCCTATTCATCCTCACATATCACCTGAACTTCCATGCCTGTTATCAGATCTCCAAGTTCTATGTCTTTATACTGCAGACCACATATCTATAATTACATACTTGTGTATGTTCAATTAATATTTAAAATTTCCACATTATTTTTTATTAAACAAATATTATTTTTATTAAAACATTATGATTTTTTTATTATTTTGGCATATTATGGGGGTACAGATTTTAAGGTTTCAATAAATGCCCTTTCCCCCCTCCCCCCACAAGTCTGGATCATCATCATGGCAATCCCCAGTGGTGCTTTCTTTATATATGGTATTATACCCGCTCCTCACTCCCTGCCAATACCCCTTTAATGTAGTAACCTATGTACCACTAGTGTGTTCAGTTGAATTCATTTGCTGGTGAGTCTTGTGGTTGTTTACATTCTTGTTGAACTTACTTTAGTATGGGTTCGCTCTAACAGGAAAATATGGATGTGCTATGGTCAGTTGTTTCTTGATGCTAGTACCCATGTTACATATGACCAATTATTTTATCATTCTTGTTGATGGACTTGGGTGTTTCATGCTCTGCATTATGAATTGTCGCTGTATTAACATTCGAGTGCAGGTGTTTTTCGTGGGTGTTTCGATTTTTGGGTAGTGCCGATGGCATTGTGGGATAAATGGTCGATTTTGTATCGTTTAAGTTCTATATGCTTCCACAGGGTTGATGTTTGGTCCACGCATGTGGGTGTTTCTTCTCTCTGCATCCTCCATAATTTACTGTTGAGATTTTGATAAAGGCCTTTCACTGGAGTTAAGTGATTCTCTTGGTGGTTTGATTGCATTTCCTGATGTTGGAGTTGGCTTTTTATATGTTTTGTTGGCCTTCTTCATTTCTTTAGCAATTTGTTTCAGTTTTGCACTTTTTATGGGTTTTTGATTTTCTTCTGTTTTTGTGATTCTACGTATTTTATTTCGTCTTTATCAGAGATGGATGAAAAATTTGCATTCAGGTAGGTTGATGTTTATTTCTGACTTTTTTGGCTGTGCGAAGCTTGTAGTTTTGTCTTTATGTTGGCGTGATTGCTTTGGGGATTTTAAACTCTTTGCGGGGCGATGTTAGGGTGTTCATTTTTCTTATTAATGTTTTACCTTGGTTTAAGGTCTTTCAGATGGGTATTTTTGTGATGAGGTGAAAGGTTGTGGGTCCTGTTTGCTTTACAGGTGCCTATCCGTTTTCCAGCACTTTATTTGAAAGGTTTTTTCCGCGTATGTTTTGTCTGCTATTGTCAAGTTAGATTAGGCTATAGTTTTTATCAGGTTTAATCTGTTCCTGGTCATATTCTGTTTTTGTGCACATTTGTTTTTAGATAGCTTTGTAGTATGTTTGATTCTGGCTATTAATGCTCCCATTTTGGTTTTTTTGCCTGATTGCTTTGATTTCGGGGTTTCTTTGGTTCATGGAGCGTAATTATTTTTTTTATTGTGAGATGTGTGGAATTTTAGGTTTCATGATTGTTAGATCTTTGGGTGAGTATAGATTTTGATGTGTTGATCGTGCCTCACGGCATGGCATGGATTTCATTTATTACTCTCTGCTATTCTTCCTAGTGTTTCATCTTTCTGTAGAGGTCTTTTCTACCTTGGTTAAGTTTATCTGATATTTATTTTTGTTGCTTTGTGAGGGATTGGTCTTTTTTGGTTTCAATGATTGTTGTTGGCGTTTGATAGCCTCTGATTTGTGTTATTGATTTTGTATCTGAGATTATATTCATTGATCGTTCTAGGAAGTTTAATTGGTTGAATCCTTGGGGTTTCTAGATACTATCAATATCATAGCAAACTGAAAGTTTGTCTCTTCTGGCCCCTTTTGGATCCTTTGATTCATTTCCTGTCTGATTGCTGTAGCCAGGACTTCCAGCACTATGTTGAACAGAAGTGGAGATAGTGGGCAGCCTTGACTGGTTCCAGTTCTAAGTGGGAATTATTTCCATTTTTCCCCATTCAGTATGATGTTGGCTATGGGTCTGTCATATATGGCTTATATCATTTTTAGGTATGTCCTTTCTATGCCTATTTTCTTAAGTGTTCGTATCATGAAAGGGTGTTGAATTTTGTCAAAAGCTTTTTCTGCATCTATTGAAAGGATCATGTGATCTTTGTTTTTGCTTCTGTTTATGTGGTGAATTGCATTTATAGATTTACGTATGTTGAACCATCCCTGCATCCCTGGGATGAAGCCCACTTGGTCGTGGTGGATTATTTTTTTGATAAGTGTCTGGATTCGGTTAGCTAAGATTTTGTTGAAAATTTTTGCATCTATATTCATTAGGGATATTGGTCTGTAGTTTTCTTTTTTTGTTGCATCCTTTCCTGGTTTTGGTATCAGAGTAATATTCGCTTCATAAAAGGTGTCGGGGAGGTTTCCGTTCTTCTCGATGTTGTGGAATAGTTTCTGCAAGATAGGTACTAGTTCTTCTTTGTAAGTATGGTAAAATTCAGGTGTGAAGCCATCTGGACCGGGACTTTTCTTTTTAGGGAGATTTTTAATTGCTGTTTCTATTTCAGCTGTTGAGATTGGTCTGTTCAGGGAATCTATTTCTTCCTGGTTGAGCCTAGGGAGGCTGTGTGTTTCTAGAAATTTGTCCATTTCCTCCACATTTTCCAGTTTGTGTGCATAAAGATTTTTGTAGTATTCATAAATTGTATCTTGTATCTCTTTGGGATCAGTTGTGATATCTCCTTTTTTATTCCTGATGGAGCTTATTAGAGATTTCTCTTTTCTGCTTTTCGTTAGCTTAGCCAACGGCGTGTCAATCTTGTTTATTTTTTCAAAGAACCAACTTTTTGTTTTATTAATCTCCTGAATAGCTTTCCTGTTTTCAATTTCGTTTAGTTCTGATTTGATCTTGTTGATTTCACTTCTTCTGCTGGGTTTGGGGTTGGTCTGTTCTTCTTTTTCCAGCTCTTTGAGTCGTTTCATTAGATTGTCTATTTGTGATCTTCTTGACTTTTGGTTATAGGCATTTATGGAGATAAACTTTCCTCTCAGAACTGCTTTAGCTGTGTCCCAGAGGAGTTGATAACTTGTCTCTCCATTGTCGTTTTCTTCATAGAAGTTTTTTTATTTCCATCTTGATTTCTTCATTTACGAAGTAATCATTTAGTAGGAGGTTGTTTAATTTCCACGTTTTTGTGTAGAAATGTGAGTTTCTGTTAGGGTTGATTTCTACTTTTATTCCACTGTGATCTGAGAAGATACATGATATGATTTCTATTTTTTTAAATTTCTTGAGGTTTACTTTGTGTCAATCTTAGAGAATGTCCCGTGAGCTGATGAGAAGAACGTATATTCAGTGGATTTGAGGTAGAATGTCCTGTAAATGTCAATCAGTCCCAATTGTTCTATAATTTTATTTAAGTCCATTATTTCTTTGTTAATTCTCTGATTGGAGGATCTGTCTTGTGCCGTCAGTGAGGTGTTGAAATTTCCGGTGATTATGGTATTGCTATTAATCAATTTGTTTAGATCCAGTAAGGTTTGCTTTATGAATCTCGGTGCACCTAAGTTGAGTGCATATATATTTAAAATTGTTATCTCTTCTTGTTGAAGTGTGCCCTTCACCATTATATAATGACCCTCTTTGTCTTTCACTACTTTTGTTGCTTTAAAAACTAAATCGTCTGAAATTAGAACTGCCATGCCAGCCTTCTTTTGGCTTCCACTTGCCTGGAATACTGATCTCCACCCTTTTACTTTTAGTCTATATGCATCCTTGCAGGTTAGATGTGTTTCCTGAAGACAGCATATACTTGGCCTGTATTTTCTTATCCATTCAGCCAGCCTATGTCTCTTGAGTGGAGAGTTTAAGCCATTCACATTTATTGAGAGAACTGATAGGTAAGGTAGATTACTGTTCATTCTGTTGGGTTGGATGTTGTTGCTTTGATTTCTCTCTTGAGCCATAGTGATATCTGGCCTTTAATCTTTGGGTTTTGGTTGTTTTTATATTCGTGAATTATTATGGTGTTCCGTGCATAACGCTGTTTTAAGTACTTCTTGTAGGGCTGGTCTTGTCTTGGTGAATTCTCTGAGCCTTTGCTTGTCTGCGAATGTTTTTATTTCTCCTTCATATATGAAGCTTAGTTTTGCAGGGAATAAGATTCTAGGCTGGGCATTGTTTTGTTTCAGAAGAGTGAGAATGGGGCCCCAGTCTCTCCTTGCTTGTAAAGTCTCATTAGAGAAGTCTGTGTTATTCGAATTGGCTTTCCCTTGTATGTTACTTGCTTCTTTTGTCTTACAGCTCTTAGAAGGGCCTCTTTAGTTGATACTTTGGTCAGTCTGATGACTGCATGACGTGACGTCTTCCTGTTTGCATTGAATCTCCCAGGGGTCCTCTGGGCTTCTTGAACTTGTATATCGAGATTTTGAGCAAGACCTGGGAAATTTTCCTCTATTATATCTTCAAAAAGCTTGTCCAGCCCTTGAGTCTTGTCTTCTTCCCCTTTTGTTAACCCTATGACCCTCACGTTAGGTTTCTTCACATAATCTCACAGCTCTTGTAGGCTTTGCTCTTTTCTCTTGTTTCTCTGCTCTATCTCTGTGACTGATTTATTTAATTGGAAGGTGTTCTCTTCAATCTCTGAGATTCTTTCTTCTGTTTGATCTACCCTGTTCTTGAGACTTTCCACAGTATTTTGTAGTTCCCTGAGTTGATTCTTCATCTCCAGGACTTCGGTTAAAGTTTTCTTCACTGTGTCGATCTCTTTACTGAACCTTTGTTCCATATCCTGGAGGCTTTTTGTGGTTTCTTTGTGTTGGTTATTGAGTTGTTGTTGCAGCTGGGTGAGTGTTCTTATGATCCACATTCAAAATTCCTCTTCTGTCATTTTGGTTTCCTGATTTGGGTTGGCCCTTTGGGGGTGATGAAGATGGAACCTGATAGACATGCTGTTTGCACAACATTGTGAATATACTAAATGCCACTCAAACATGCATTTTAAAAATGGTTAGCTTTATGTTATATGAATCTCACCTCAATTTTAAAATGTACATAAAAAGGAATTTTGTTCCTCAAAAATCTAAACATAGAATTACCATATAATCAATCAATGCCACTCCTACATATATACCAAAAGAATTGAAAGCAGGAACTCAAGCAGATATTTACACACCAATGTTCATAGCAACAATATTCACAATAGTCAAAAGAGGTGGAAACAACTCAAATATCCATTGACGAATGGATACACAAAAAGTAGTGTACACAAACAATGGAATATTATTCAGACATTAAAAGGAATGGGCCAGGCCAGGAGCGGTGGCTCACACATGTAATCCTAGCACTCTGGGAGGCCGAGGCAGGTGGATTGCTCAAGGTCAGGAGTTCAAAATCAGCCTGAGCGAGACCCTGTCTCTACTATAAATAGAAAGAAACTAATTGACCAACTAAAATGTATATATACAAAAATTAGCCGGGCATGGTGGTGCATGCCTGTAGTCCCAGCTAATCGGGAGGCAGAGGCAGTAGGATAGTTTGAGCCCAGGAGATTGAGGTTGCTGTGAGCTAGGCTGATGCCATAGCACTCACTCTAGCCTGAGCAACAAAGTGAGACTCTGTCTCAAAAAAATAAAAAGGAATGGCCTGGGCACAGTGGCTCACGCCTGTAATCTTAGCACTCTGGGAGACCAAGGCAGGAGGATCACTTGAGATCAGGAGTTCGAGACCAGCCTGAGCAACAGTAAGACTCCCTCTCCACTAAAAATAGAAAAAATTAGCCAGGCGTAGTGGCGCATGCCAGTAGTCCCAAATACTTGGGAGGCTGAAGCAGGAGGATCACTTGAGCCCAGGAGTTTGAGGTTGCTGTAAGCTAGACTGACACCACGGCACTCTAGCCCAGATGACAGAGTAAGACTCTGCCCCACCCTCCAAAAAAAAAAAAGAAAAGAAAAGGAAAGGAATGAAGTCCTGAGACATGCTACAACATAGATGAAACTTGGAGACATCATGCTAAGACAAAACAAAAGTCAAACACAAAAAGACAAACACTCTAAGATCCTGCTTCTACGAGGCACTTAGACTAGTCAAACTCACAGAGACAGAAAGCGGATTAGAGGTTAGCAGAGGCTGGGGGTGAGGAGAGTGGCAAATGATTGCTTAACATTCACTACGTTTCTGTGTGGGGTTAGTGGAAATATTTAGAAATAGATGGTCATGGTTGCATAACACAGTGAACGTAACTAATGCCACTGAATTAATA